TACACACAACATACCACACATTAACTAAACAAACAAATTCACTGACCACATAATACAGAGTCGAGATGTACCCTGGGGGGAATGGAGGGGGGGGAGAGAGAGTGGGTAGGGAATGAGAGGGAACGAGAGGGGGTAGAGAGGGGAAACCAGGTAATGGATTTCAACACACCTGCCGGAACTCCCCCCCCCCAGTACATCTTACCTTCCTAAGTTCTCTGTCTATCTATCTGTCTGTCTGTCTGTCTGTCTGTCTGTCTGTCTGTCTGTCTGTCTGTCTGTCATTCATTTTAATGGTGTGTTTATTTATTATTTTCCCCAGTAATGACATATTATCCTATTGGGGGAAGATACATACATACATACATACATACATAAAGAGAGAACGAAAGAAAGATAGAGAGAGAGAGTACAACAGGGTGGAGGAGGTGGCCGTGTCAGGTTCTGAATATTCATGTCCACTCTGAATGTGAACTACGACGCCACCACTACCACAACTACCACCAACACCACCACGACTACTATTAGTACTATCACCATCATAACTCACCATCACTGCCACCACCATCACAACCACAACAACCACAACTACCACCATTACCTACCCCCTCAACCCACAAAAACAAAGCGACATCCCCAGACTAACATACAAACACGGACAAAACACACACACACACACACACACACACACACAAGAACTGATAAAGGCATCGATGCACACACCCTTAACTCGACAGCCACCAGATACGAACTTCTCTTCACAACCAATTTATACAAGATAAAAGAAATTAAATCTAGTATATTTATCACTGTCCAGATTTTCTTACGCGTCACAGAATCACGATAACGAGGTGTAATTTTTTTCAACAGGTAAGACTCATAATTTTACGTGACATTCTTAATTATCAGGTGAGAATATTGGCAGGACTCTCTCTCTCTCTCTCTCTCTCTCTCTCTCTCTCTCTCTCTCTCTCTCTCTCTCTCTCTCACTCACTCACTTTGTTATTATTAATTGGGTTTTTATAGTCTAATTAATCGCGGTTTTTATGTTGACACCTGTTGACACCTGTTGCAGCTTATATTATGAACACCTGTTGATACTGCTGCAGGAGAAAAAAAATAGCGTCAAAATTACACTGTGACTGGATGAATTAATTTCGACTAAGATATTTAACGAAGCCAATATGGTGTGAAAATTATACCGAGACTCGACGAAATAACACACGGAGATGCACAACGAGAGAGAGACCTGAGCCGAGATCTCGTTTATCTCCTGTGGCATCAGTGACGTCATCAAGGTGAGCGTCCAATCAGCGCTTACCTGGAGACGTGGAGAAGTTGACAGGTGTTCCTCCCCAAAGGCTTCATCATAATTACCGGGCTTCCTTCCACTTCTGGGTATACAGGTACAACTAGTAACCCCCTAGTAGCTCGAGGCTGTACAAGTGAAGCCTCGACAAAATCTCCCTTAACCTGAAACTGTCATGAAGTCAGACAAATGATTCATACGTAAATTTCAGCAGTTCTCCCCCCCACACAATCTTCAGCAGGTCTACCCCCACACACACACACACACGGTAACTTCAGCAAAAGTTCTTGGGGGGAAATTTTCAGCTTAACTCCAGTAAGTTTCGAGACGATATCAACAGGTGTGTCCGATGTGAACTTCGTCAGGTATCGACCGCTGTTCTCGGTATCTGTCCCAGTGTGTCCCAACAGGTGTTTGTGATATGGTGTCTAGGTTGATATCAAAAGGTGCTCGGGATTTATCGTTTAACAGGTAATAACAGGTGAGGTGTTCTTGGTACAGGTGCTTCGTCGGGTAAAAGGAAGGTGTTTGTGATCTGTATTTGAGGTGTTGAAATGTATTCCTGCTGTAGATTTTAACAAAGGTTTCGTCGTCACAAAATGGGGTCAGGCACAAGGGAGATGGGAGAGAGGGAGGGAAGGGCAACCATCACCACCACCACCATCACCACTACCACCACCACTACCACCACCACCACCATCACTACTACCACCACCAGTACTACCACCACCACCACCACCACCATCACTACTACCACCACCAGTACTACCACCACCCAAGCGTGAAGAATGTCCCCAACAAGCAGCAGGAACAGTAGGAAGTTCGAAGCGTCAAGGAATACAGAGACGTGCAATCCTGACCTCACACCCAGTAACCACACCGTCCTGTTACATTCATGGCTATTATTATCTCAACATTCTTCTGTATGTTAGGAGTAAGATTGTTGGTGTGTGTGTGTGTGTGTCTGTCTGTGTGTCTCTGTGTGTCTGTGTGTGTGTGTGTGGTGATCTCTGTGTGTCTGTGTGTCTGTGTGTGTGTGTGTGTGTGTGTGTGTGTGTGTGTGTGTCTGTGTGTGTGTGTGTGTGTGACCCCCTCCCAATTCCCTTCTATTCTCTCTACCAAACTGTTTATATCTATTTCGTATATATTTTCTTTATTAGCTTTATTTCTTGTTATTTCTCATTATTATTCAACTTTATCCTCTACTGCGTCTTATTTATTGATTTATCTTATAATTCTTTAACTTCTTTTCATTAACGGTCTTTCCCCTCACCACCTCTCCACCCCCCTCACCACCTCTTCCCTCCCTCACTACCTCTCCCCCCTCCTTCACTACCTCTCACCTCCTCCTCCCCCTCACCACTTCTCCCCCTCCCTCACTACCTTTCCCCCCTCCTCCTACCTCTCCCCCTCCCTCCCACCACCTCTCCCACCCCCCCCCTCCCTACCTCTCCCTCCCTCCCTCTCCCCCCCTCCCTCCTACCTCTCCCCTCCCTCCCTACACCTCTCCCCATCCCTCACTACCTCTCCCCCCTCCCCTCCCACCCTCTCCCCCCCTCCCCTCACCACCTCTTCCCCTCCCCTCCCTCTTCCCCTCCCTCTTTTCCTCCTCCTCCTCCCCCCTCCACCCTCCTCCTCCCCCTCCCACCACCCTTTTAATAATTCACAACACCTTTATTAATGGTAGTTACTTTATTTCTCACCACCTAACTCTTGTGTTATATTGTGCCTGTGTGTGATTGTTAGGTTAGGTTGAATGTCTTCTTACAATTGTCCATAACACACACACACACACACACACACACGCACGCAAGTCAGTAATACTCTAGTGAATGTTATTATTACCATCACCCTCACGAGTTCTCTTCAGTCGTCAGTCACACACCTCACCTCGGTCTTCTTTCAGAGTTAACGAGAGTATAAGTCATCCTTCACAAAGAGATATCATTACTGGTAAATTAAGTCGTCTTGTGAAGTCTCTCTCTCACTCTCTGTCAGCCTTATCACTGCCACCCAGCCACGCAACGAGCAGTGAAAAGAAACATAGCCACTCAGCGAGCATAAAGAATAGTTAGCCACTCAACGAGCATAAAGAATAATTAGCCACTCAACGAGCATAAAGAATAATTAGCCACTCAACGAGCATAAAGAACATCACACCCACTCAGCGAGCATAAAGAACCACACAGCCACTCAGCGAGCCTTAAAAAAACGACAAATCGGCTCAGTGTGCATTGTGAGTGAGGCCGAGTCCCTCTTACCAGCTAACACCTTCACACTACACCTTCAGTGTTCATCTCACGGCGCCAAGAGAAGGAAAAAATAAACAATCAACCGCAAGTCCTATTTAGGTTGAGGTAAAAGGTTAATAAAGTATGACCTTATGCCTTCCCGTCCGCACTGGTATATTCTTCTTGTTGACGGAGAGAGGAGGAGGAGGTCTCTTATGGCGGAGGATCTGAAGTAGATGGCATGTTTAAGCCCCTTTTGGCGGGAAATTGGGGTAACTCTCTTGAGGGGAAAACTGCTTACCATTATGAAGTAAAAGCTGCTTGGGTCTCTTGTCGGTATGGCTGTATGTCGCTTTTGGCTTCTAAGTATTTGACGGAAATCTGCGTAAGTCGTCCAGGGAACCAGCTAAGCAGAGTGGAGCACGAACAATGAGCCGGATGTGAATGTGTCTTATCTAGTGTAAGTTTAGATGTTTCTGGGAAGAATCGTGAGTTTTGACACACACACACACACACACACACACACACACACACACACACACACACACACACACACACACACACACACACACACACACCCCACACACAAGTAGGACCATCTGGGTGACGCATATACGTCGTGGTCAATAATCCTGATTGGACGTGTAATGTAGTGGTTTTACAGGAGCAGGTAAGTGTGTTGTGGTTCCCGGCAAGGTGTGCTCCTCCACCCTCCTGGGGAGAGAGAGAGAGAGAGAGAGAGAGAGAGAGAGAGAGAGAGAGAGAGAGAGAGAGAGAGAGAGAAGAGAGAGAGATACAAACAACACCTCCACCCTGCTAACACCTCCTCCCCACCTCTCTCACCCCCCCACCTCCCCTCTCCTCCCCGCTTCCCTCATCCAGCGTCATGGAGCCAGAGTTTAACAATAAGCTCTCCAGTCTCCTGAGGGAGGGAGAACAAAGTGAAGAAAGACAGTGGCACTGGCTCGGGGAGGAAGAGGGAAGTGAAGGAAGGGTACAGAGTCCGGGAGGAGGAGGCGGAATGGGTCAGGGGGAGGGAGGGGGATGATTGGAGGGATTCAGAGTTAAATGGAGGTGAGGGGGCAGAATACGAGGGAGGTGTGAGCAGGATCAAGTCGAGAGGGGGAGGGAAGGTGAATAGAAACAGGTGTATGGAAATGGAAGAGAGGGGGACAAGGGGGAAAACGAGAAAGGAGGAAAGAAGAAGGGATTAGGAACACGTGGAGGGGAAGGTAAGGGGTTCAGGAGCACGTGGAGGGGTGGTGAGGGAAGGTGAGGGGGAGGTGAGGGAAGGTGAGAGGATGGTGAGGGGAAGGTGAGAGGATGGTGACAGGTGAGAGGATGGTGAGAGGTGAGAGGATGGTGAGGGAAGGTGAGTGGGTTGGATAAAAAATTAACTGGTTGTAGCTAAAAATAGATAAGTTTGTCCTTAGACTAATTATAACTATGTTCCTCTCCTGCAGGTTTGAGCCTGATGAACAGCACGGGGGCAGTGTTCGTTTCTTTGGTGGTCGCCTTCATCTTCGTGTCTTCAGTCAACTCCGCCGCCTTCAATAGGTAAGTACTGTACTGTCACCTCAAAAAGTCAGTGTCTCCTTCTGAATGAATCAGTATCAAAACCAAACGAGATAATGCAACGCCACCTGTGTTGAGATCCTGAACTACAGTACAGTACATCCACCAGTAACCAGTCAACACTCTTTGTTATATTGACCTTCACCTGAGGATGTCACACACATGTCCTCTATAACATTCTGTTATGAATGTAATAGTAAAAAACTATGAACAAACAAACGATCCCGCACTTCCTCTTTCATTGGTGCTGTCACACACACACTAACACACACAAACACACACTTTACATACAAAATATGGTATAACATATGCAAGACACTTATTTCTCTTTAAAAGATGCAATTAAAGCTCCTTATGCACGAGATAAAACCAAAAATTGAAATACGGCCCAAGTGACATGTTATCGTCCACCACCAGCCTGCGGCGGGGAAGGTACGGAACTGCTTCACTCACTGTTTTTACCAAATGATTGGATCACATCTTTTAATGAGGATTGACACATCTCAGTGTAGTGGTTTGACCCCACACACAAGTCACAGCCACAGGGCCTTGGAGCAATACACACATAAAGGAATAACAGATAACCAAGAGACGTCCTCCTCGTTCCGGGAAGAATCACCAACATCTCACTTAACCCAGATTCAGTCCCGTATTGCGAAAAATACAATGAAAATTGACTTTTCTATATCATGATGCAGTCTGGACCCGATCTTTGGTATTCACAAGAAACACTGGACAACATGCCAGTTCTAAAAAGATGCATGATGCTGGAATGGTAAATGACTCTAAAGATCATGTAATAATGTCATAAAGTAATTCAAAGTTCACGAAGTTGATTGAGTTCATGATATACACAAGTCACTGTCTTGAACATCACTGGATAAAGAAAATTTCCCGAGTGACTTTATACAAGAAACGTGATCCCGACCTTCAACACGGGAGGTAGCGGCGACTGACTCAGTTAATACAAGACTCACGGGTAAATACAAAAACAATGATAACTGATGTATAAAACTGATTTAGCCATACCTGAAGTGTGATGAGTTAGGGGGCTACAGTCCCTCGAGCAGCTGTTAACTTCACTTACCTGAAGAAGAAAACAATTTAATTAACCTTCCATCCCACTTTACTCCCATAAAATTTCCGTAAAAGTTAAGGAGAAAGTCATCACTTATACCAGGTTATATATTGACGACAGAGACCAACCAAACCTAACCGTATCACTAGATATATATATGATCATAAAGTTTGGTTTAGTTGGTTATGTTGTCTGCCATCATTAGTGGTTTAGACCTTCAGCCTTCCTGATGGAGTTTTGATGACAAGATCATAAAAGTTCTGAAGCAAAACTGTATATATTTCACATCCCTTCAATTATTGTTCTTTCTCTCCTATTATACTGTATAAGCATTTATGTGTTACCACAAATGTGTCTGGAAAGATTCTTTCCTCACCTCCCCCAAAAAGGTGGTGACCTCTCCTTAACGTTTACCAACAATCGTACTCTCCAACTAACAGGAACAACCATGATATTAACAGTGTTTTTAGTTAACACCAAAAATTAATATAAACATGTGTCCATCCTGCCATAATGAGAGCAGCAGCAGTGCTCACCTTGTCCTGGTGGTAGAGGAAGCCTTGGGGTCACCCGTCATGTCTTGGGCCAGGGACCATCCTGCCTGAAACAACATCATGAATGAGGCCACAGTTCTGTTTCATTTCTCTAATTAATACAACTTTATTGATATTTAAATCCAAATTCTATAGAGTAACACAAGTGATGGTGGATACTTCAAGGATCAGTACAGCTCCTTCATATACAGTAACTTGACACAGCCAAGTACAACAAGTCATAATGGTCGGAACCCCAAAGCATAACTCACTCACAAACCTACACTGACAATTTTTCACTCTTGATTCTTATTCATTTAATAAGGAATATGTTTCTACAAAACTTTCTTTAAAATGAGTGATGCCAAATAGTTATGGATGTCACATTCACATATCCATCCACATCCACAACATTTGCACATCCGCATCTGCATCTAAATTATGCAAATGTTGCAGATTTGTAGAGCTTGGGATTTTATATTATTTATAGAATATAAATATTTGTATAGTATAAATATTTGATCACACACACACAGACACACCTTGGTAACAGCATCTGCGGCTCTCAAGGCTACTGGGACGAGGTTTCAGCATCGATAATAATCTATTTATGTCTTCCCGTTCCGTCTATCTTTACCTATTCTTCCTTCCAGGACGGGAGGGGGGTAGAGGTTGCTAGAGGTGAGAGATCAACGGGATGAAAGTAGGAATATGCGTATTTTCTTATCACTTGCACAATTCTCTCTCTCTCTCTCTCTCTCTCTCTCTCTCTCTCTCTCTCTCTCTCTCAAGTCTGATATTTTTTCTACTTTCTCTCTGAAAGAAAAGGACTATCTGACGTACATAATAAAGTTTACACCACAAGTTCAAATAAAACTGCATGAAGGCGGAAGACGAGGAAGAGCAACTGTGGAGAGACTTAGCAGGATATGCTCCATGACTAATCCTTCTTGAACGGAAATCTCTTGATCCCGCTACAACAAACTTCTTCCTTCAATATTTCCTCAAAGAACAGAGACGAGAGGATGTTTATTATTGCCCCGCTGAAAATATACCTCACTGGCACTGAGAATATACCCTACTGAGGCTAGGAATATACCTCACTGGCACTGAGAATATACCCTACTGAGGCTAGGAATATACTTCACTACCGCTGAAAATATACCTCACTGGCACTGAGAATATACCCTACTGAGGCTAGGAATATACTTCACTACCGCTGAAAATATACCTCACTGGCACTGAGAATATACCCTACTGAGGCTAGGAATATACTTCACTACCGCTGAAAATACAACCTATTGATACTGAGAATATATATATAAACGTGTACGTGTATGTGTCTGTCTGTGAGCATTTGTCCAGCCTTGTTAGTTAGTAAAACACAAGAATTAGTGAGCGTGTACGAGCCTAACGATGATTGAAGTGTTTACTATCAATTAAAACTTTTAGGCTATAACTATCGAATCCTCGTATATTGTTGATGTGATTAAAAAGTAATTGTTTTCAGATCCGTCCATTTTATTTTAAGCAAATTAAAAGCGCAACGAGAGATCAGTTGTCAAAGCGACGATTCTTTTTTTTTCTTTTTTTATTGGGCACTCCCCTACATTCTTGTGTAAGGTGAAGCGCAGAAGCGTTTACAGTGCCCAACAGGGAAGCATGCTAAGTTCATGCTTGCCTTTATTTCTCATGAGTTAAGGACGTAGAAGCCTGAAGAGTCAAGTTATTGGAAGCTCCAACAACTTGTCCCTGAATACGAATTCGCAACTTTCGATTTACATCAGGTACGACGATTCATTGTGACAGAGAGTTCCACAGTGTGTCAGTCCGAGGCAGAGATTTGGTTGGTTGTACAGGTAGTAGCAGTAGTGTTCTTATTGCTGCTACCACTACTACATATGATACAAAAAAAATTATAAAATAGAAGAATTAGAAAAATTATAACGAACAAAAAATATATTCGTTTGTTATCGTGAATTATGGAGTTCATTGCCCTCACACCCGCTGCACGAGTCGTAAACTTCCTGACTTTTACAATTATTGTATTACTTACGTACAATAAAGGACTTCTCAACACAATTGTCTATAATAACAAAGAATTTCACCAGAAGACAACGCCATAATCACTAAAATACAAAGAACTTTCCAACAACATTATTAGACGAGGATTATATACTCTGTACCCCACGAATAAGCCTTTCCCCTTTCTTCATTCAATTCCTTATTACATTACAAACTTTTTTTTAATATCTGGTATTACGATATTCTTCAGTGATTGTGTAATAATTTTAGTGAGACTGTCGTGGCTGTTATATTACTTAACGGTGGTGTTTGAGAGAAAATTACTGGTCACGGAGCCTAGTGTGGCGGGCGGGTGGGCGGGCTGGTGGGTGAGGTAAGAGTCAAGCTGTCACCAGTAAGTACAGCTTTTGATTTTGATTGTTCGTGTTCGTTTTGATTCACTGTTTTAAATTATTTTTTTTTGGGGGGCGGTCATACTTGAAGTAGTGAGTCATCGTCGTGTCTCTAACCTAATATAACCTAACCTAAACTAATATTGCCTAGACTAACCTAACCTAAACTAATATTGCCTAGACTAACCTAACCTAACATAAACTTAACCTAACCTAATCATTAGCACCAGGCCCTAGCTCTATTGAGTCCTTATCTTAATCCACCAAAACGCTCATATTTAATTAAAGTTAAGCTGGGACATTTTAACACCGGGCTTGCGTTAACCTATAATAATTCACGAAACGTCCTGAAACTGAGATTATATTACTGAAAGTTTAATATATTGGCATTAGAAATTAACTCCCGTCACTAGTTTGGTATTAATTCCTCTTATTGCGGGATTAAAATATCTCATTTAATTAGTCAGACTCAGCCCAACTTAAACACCATTTGAGTATATATCTAAATAATTTGAGTGAGTCAGGTGGATAGGGTTTTGAAGAATCTAAACATTGGGAGAATTTACTGTACGAAGCATTGAGACTGTCCGGGTTTATGTGAGTCCATCAAGTTTCTTGTATCACCTAACTTAAGGGAGAAAATTAATATTAAGACCTTTTGAGAATCTACCTTTCATGTTGTAACTTAGTTTGTTCCAGTAAGTTACAGTCTTATGTCACCAGTTATGGAAGGAATTGAAATCATGAGCGTTTGAGAATCCTTCTTTGTGCAGTAGCTAAGGTGGGCCAGTTACGTATATCAGGTATTACTAATTTCTCTAACTTAACAGGAATATCTTAATGTAGAGTCCTTTGAGAATCCATCTTTATGTCGTAACTTAAGAGAATCAGTTAGGGATCTATCAGTTACAGGGGGACTTAAACACAATCAGTTACAGGGGGACCTTAACACAA